TAGAAAGTACAATATACTAAAAAATTTTCTAGACAACTTATTAAATATATATATAGAGCATATACAATAGCAATGTGGTCTTTTCAAAAGCATAACATAGAATAGAAAAACCATATTCAAATACTTGACTAGAATTCTACTTAGTTTTATCTTAACAACAACTCTAAAATCATATTTAATATTACATCACCCAAACTAAATCATTTAGAGTTAAAAACTTGCTTAATAAGCTACTAGTATATTTTTACTTTAATACCATCAAACCAAAAATCTTTTAAGCCAATATATACTTTTTATATAATTTTTCTAACTTATCTACACACTGGCTTATTTTTCACAACTCAAATTGTCTACTTCTCTATTATAAATATAATCACCAAATATTTAGGCAATTTAATATCTATAAAGCACAAAGCTATAATAGATCTTATTGAATCACATCTATTCTTCAATTATGTTTTATTAGCTAGTCTACAAATATATATATTACTTATCATGATAAAAGGCCTCATTTTAACTACTTGTTGTAAGTGCACCAGAAGGTAGCAGATATTATAATTCATATACTGCTACAAATATTTACAAAATACTATGAACAAATTTGGAAGCTATATTATAAAACATTTGCAAAGTATAGAAAAATATAAAAATATCAATATACAAAAAAAAAATTAAATGATACAAAAAAGAATATATTCATTTAAATTTTACAAAAATCCATCTATAGTTATCTTTGTAATTTCTTAGACCAACAGTATAACACTAACAATAGCTATTCTTCTAAAGAACAAGCTAAACAAAAATACAACCAAATAGTCTATAGTATGGATAGGGTGTCTGGTATACCAAAAAAAATTTGACATGCTATAAAATATTATATATTATTTATAATATCATATATAGTTTAAATATTGTAAAATTAACATACCACCATTGGCATACCTTTGCCACTAATCTGAGTACCATCACAGGCCACAGTATATAGTTTGCCAGTTCAAAATAACAATAATATAAATAATACAGTGGTTCTACTAAACCAGAATCAGAAGTCCAACATGTATTACATTAAAATAAAAGAATATACTAACTTCAATATAAAAATATTAGTTATAATATTTCCCCCCTTCAATATATATAATATAGTCTAGAGGTCTTGGATCTATTTAGCCAAGATTTAGATTTAAAGTAAAATGGCAGAAATGTTAATGTCTAAGCTTCATCTTCCCTTTCACTTAATATAATATATCATTGCAACAAAAATTTTGTAAATAATATAATTATATATAATAAAGAACTGGAGGAAAAGACCTCTCTTATAAAAAAAAAAAAAAAACTTGGGGGAAATTAGTAAATCCCAAAGACACACATTACAATATTACAAAAAATTTGATATTCAGTAGATATATATAAAGTATTCACATCATTCTTTTCAACATGTAAAAAGTTCTGTAAGCACTCATATGGGCTAGGTGCTGCAAAAAGGGGTAAATCGACAAAATTTTCAAACTAGTTTTTTTTGCACAAATCAATTTAAAATAAGATTAGAATCATTTTTTACTTAAAAACAAAGCAGTTATATATTTGTAGTATAGCTAAAATTTATAACATAGAAGATCTTTTGTTTTGTTGATTTACCCCCTTTTTGCAGCACCAAGCCCATATGAAAAAATTTCATGTGCCACAAATGTGCGCATCGACAATTAAAAATTGCACTTGCTATATATTTTTAAACTACATTGGATTTTCAATAGTCAAGAACTGTACCCAGTGACGAAATGCCTCCAACAGCTAACAATTATTTCCAAAGGGTTGTCTTTCTTCCAGAAATTAACATCTTTCTAAGCACAAATTCGAACATAATACGTTATATTGATTAAAATTGACGCGAATCTTTTTAAGACAGGTCAAAAACAATGTTTTTGCACCTTATACAGTAAGGTAAATTCAAAAAAACAAACAAATATAATTGGTTAGTATTAGCACTATAATAACTATTATACCAAACAGAATGTAAATCCGTAGCTTTTCACAGTACAAGCTACAAAATTACAAAATTACATAAATAGTAGATTTTTAAACAATTAAAATACCAAGACAAATAAATAGTTACTATATTAACTATAATCAATATTTGAAAAATTGATTTAACCAAATACGCGGAAAAGATTGGTATCTTTTGTAAACGAATAAAATTTCAAAAAAAGTACGTGTAACGCGGATGTCACATAATAACATTCGCAGATTCCAAGAAACTTTTCCTTGCACCGCAGTTTCTGCATACACTAACTATAATGCTACAGTGGCCGCAGAAAAAAAATCCGAAAAATAATAAATTAACAAATTCCTTCCATTTTCTAAGAATAGATCAACCATTTTTCGATTTGGTTAAATGAATGCTAAAAAAATAGCAAAATCCGTTTAGGCCCAAAAAACATTGAAAATGGATTAACCATTCACAAACCATCATCGTTACACGGTAGATAATCGTTCGCAGTAATGCGGTAATACCTCAAAGAATGGTTGATATATTCATTAAAGCTAAAATCATCAAAATGAATCAGTCGTTCCTGAAATATTAGCACTATATTAATAAAACAAAATGCTTATTTCAATAATTCTAATTTTGATGTTCGGTACCATTTAGTAACTATATTTCGAGAATAACAGAACGTTTTCGGACATCTTTGGATTTAAATAAATCTTAAGTTGGTAGTATTCGTTTAAATATAAATAAAAGGTACAATGTGAGTAATTTATTTCTGAATATTTTTAATTATTATAATAAATTTTGCACATTTATTACTATATTAATTATATTAATAATATTATACAATCAATACGATCCCAATATCAAATACTTTGAAAATTTTATCAATAATTCATCACGGCGAATTTATGAAACTCGGGTACCTTGACTAACTATGAAGTGCGTCATTTACTATTTGTTTTTTGACATTTCTTATTGTAAAATCATATAGATAACGTCTAACCCATCTTTTTACGAGAAGATGGGTTAGACGTTATCTATATGATTTTACAATAAGAAATGTCAAAAACAAATAGTAAATGACGCACTTCATAGTTAGTCAAGGTACCCGAGTTTCATAAATTCGCCGCAATGTTTTTTCATAGCTCAAAATATCTTACTATACTCATTTATTTATTCAAGTATAAAAAACACTCATACACGTCCCAATATGATCACATATAATGAGAATTTATGTGTTGTTTAATCACACTTTTATCACTAAAATTTACTAAAATTATAACGATTTTTTATAGAGAAAATAGGTTATTCAAGTTCATAAATTTTAATTCTTCACATTAATTTACAATAATAGATAAGCACTTATAAATAATATATTTAAATAAGTCAAGCTTATAAAGGTTTTTTTATTCGCGTTAATTAAATTCATCAATATATAAAGAACATTAAAGTATTTAAATTATTCAAATGATAAATATCTAACTTTTTTTTATTTATTTATTTATTTTATTTAGTTGATAATAAGCGCGGACCATAATACCCTCTCATACCAAGTACCCCTTAAAAATTGTGAAATACTAAAGTATTTCCTACGTAAAAAAATTTTCATATAAAAAATCGCCAAAAATAGTATTGTACTTGAACTTTGTTCGTGAATGTATCGTGTCCAGGGTACTATGGTCCGCGCTGTATAGTAATATTATTTAAATGAAGCCAATTATACGTAATTATACGTGTAATATTAGTGGAACGATATGAAATTGCAACAAAGAAAACAAAGACATCTATCTCAAAAAAATAAGTATTATAAATTTGGATGAGATTCTTAAAGTAGTCAATTGTTATTCAATAAATTCCTTCACTGATAGAAAAGATATTATTACATACAATGAACAATATAACAATATAACAATTCTTTATGTAACCATGAATGATTATATACAAAAAGTATAATCTGTCTCGATTTTATAGCTTGATCAAACTACTTTATAGTCACGAAGTATACTGTAAAACACAGAGTCTATACAGATATAGATAAAATATAGATAAAGTGCCACAATATACTCTATTGTTTTCCATGTGAAGTACGAATTTTGCTAGCAATCATAAAAAATTTATGTCCCTGATCCTGTGTGACAAATCTTGTCTACAAACTCATATTAAGTAGAAAAGATCATAAAAGATAGTAAACAAAAGTTTCTACTTATAGCAAATTCTAGTAAATATAAACAAAAATTAACTGAAATTAGCTGTATAAACAAATCGTACGTACAGTACGTACGTACAATATCTGATATGTACGTACGTATATAAAATACATGCACAAAAATTACTAAAGGAATTTTCTGGATCCTTAATTATAATAACATGATGATCTCACGCGCGTCGCAGTTCATTTTCCGAAGGGTTGGCAAATAATCTCCATGTGGTAATCATCTTAGTAATTATCCTACGGATTATGTAGGATAGATATTCATAAAATGTGCGTCATTATTACAGTTTAGTAAGTTAAATTTTTTAAACTGTTTCTGATTAATTATCAAGCGTAAACAATTAAGTAATGGAAAATCTCATTTTTTGTTTCTATTATTAGAAATTATTTAAACTGCGCAAATATCGTGATATCTTTTTTAGCATCCAAGATAATGAGAATTACTCAATAACGATAAATGGGGAATTATTTCATCAGAAGCAATTCAAATGATCATGAGAAACAAGAATGTGTTGTTCTTAATAATGATTAAACATAATTGTCTAGCAAAAAATAAAAAAAATGCAAAAAAAATAAAATAAATAAAACAAGAAAAAAAAAAGAAAAAAAAAAACTGGATTTTTGGTTATACCAAAAATGATTCAAAAGCAGTCATTAAAATGAAAATGATTACATCATAATGCACTGGTTTTACAAAAAAAAAATACATATATATAAAGAAGCATGACTCGGAATTTTTTTTTTTTTTAAAAAAAAAATTAATAATTATATAATAATTTACGATAATATACGGCGAAGGAGATGGGATACTGGAGTCAAGAAAGATATACAAATTGGGTTCCCTACGACATACCTTCGCCCTTTCCTTATAATCGTGAAGATGGACCCGATCTTCAACGGGTATTACAAAATTTATACGCTCTTAAGTTGAAGTTAAGAAGTATTAATGATGTAAGCCTAATTCCAAAGGAAACTCGTAATTACCTTCGCTGGGCATTTAAAGCCATTTGTTCATGTGAACATTCTAAAAACCTTCCTAATCCAATGATTCGTGAAAGTTTAGATATTGCTTTTTCAGATATTCTTGATAATATCATTCCGCAAATCGAACTTGGCAACCCTGCTCCATTTATTCCATCCAGAGAGAGTACTATTAACATGTTAATGGATCATAGAAACATATTGTCTATTTGTCAGGATTTACAAAGTGATTTAGAAGAATATATTCAATTCAATTGTGAATTTTCCTACGGAATGGGAAGATTGGCGATGGTTTTATTTAAACAGTATCCAAACAGTAAATAAATTTTTTATAAACATTCTTTAAAATATAGTTATTAGAATAACATTTGCTTTTTCAAGCATTGTATTATAGTATAGTATATATTAGATCTTGTCAACTTTTTTTTTCCTTTAAATTATTACCATCATATGTTTTTATTTTTAAGTTCCATATGAAATTATCTAATTATATGAACCGTAGTAAAAAAATTGTATTCAATTAGATACCTAGCTAGAATTTTCTCTATAAGCGTCTAAGATTATGAACTTACTGATTTTTTTTTTTTTTCAAGGCACTTTCCACGTGTCTTTTTTTGGCATAAAAAATATCTCCGCGAAGTCCTTTTTTTTCGTCCTAAAATTCCGTAAATATGTAAATAATCAATTAAAATTTATATATATTCATCTCAATATAGTATGTTTTACAAAAACCTGTTAGTAAGTTTTGGCGTCAAATTTTTTGATTGGTAACCTCCGGATGCATTGTTAAACCTATGACATTCTAATCTACAATTATAAGGTTTCGTTGTTATGTGTTTATTTATTATAAAATAAATAACCGCAGTAAATCATTTTGTTTGATAATCATCATTAACAAATTTAGCTAGTTCTTTTGTTTGTATGCCTCGGAACTCCTATAATTATTGTGCAGTATTTTGCTGTAATTTTTAATTTTTATAACGATAATAAAAACTCCTGCAGAAATATAATCTTCTATGCAGAATTGTGCGTCAAAAATCCGTCCATACTGATTGGTCTATGATAAAAAAAACTTTACGGTAATATCCGGTCCTTTACGGCGATTATCGAATAAATGTGTAAATAGGGTTGTTAAATTAGTCCGATCCCGGATCATAAGATCAAACGATCGTCCGTTCAAAATGACTAATTTATTTTCTACAATTACTAGACCGGATCAGTATGATCTTAGATCAGATCGATAGACCATTCTGAGTGTAAATAATCCGAAAATTGTGTCCGACAAAGTTTTTTCTGGGGTTTCGTTCTATAAATTATACTAATGAGGAAATAATAATTCATTTTTCTATCAATGTTTATTAATTTTCTGTAATTAATTTTGTAGTCTAAATACGAGATTACTGATATTGTATTACTTTCTATGGATGTATATCTTTATTTTTTTATCTCGAATCATATTTTGTTTCACCTCGATTCATCATATTCATCATTGACCATATTTGTTTCACCTCGACTCATAATTGATCTTATTTGTTTCACCTCGACTCATACATAATTGATCTTATTTGTTTCACCTCGACTCATCTATGACATATTTGTTTCACCTCGACTCATCAATGCTCATATTTATTTATTTACCATCGTGCAGGTACAGTCGTAAAGTAAAAATTTCTGCGTACGTATGTGCTCTCATCAATGATCATATTTATCATATTTATCATATTTGTTTCACCTCGACTCATCTGCGCTCAAATTTGTTTATCCTCGTGCAGGTACAGTCTTAAAGTAAAATTTCTATGCACTCTAATAAAGTAAATTTCTATGCGTTCTAAAAAAGTATAACTCAATCCCCAAATTAAATTTCAAAAAAGTAAATTTTGGTTTATTTGAATAGTCCTAAAACGTATTATTGTAACCATATCGGAATAATTGACCACAAAACCTATATCCGGTTATATTATATCGAATGTTCTGGCCTATTTAATCCGAAATGATTGTTACTGTATTGAACTTTTTGAAATATCATGCAAATATACGTTGAGAATATCAAGGGACGACGCGCCATATTACATAAATTTATCAATTTATATATATTAAGTTTGAATTGGGAATGTACTGGAAGAGATCATGCTTTATTTGATATCCTTTCTTACAACCATGGTTATGTAACAGAATTATGATCATTCTAAAATAATGAAATCAAAATAATGTGACCATAAAAAGTTTATAATTCGATTCAAATGTTAACGTTCTTAATTAATTTAGTATTCTTTAAAATCAGATAACCTGATAAGCATGTACTATACAATATATAAAAAATATATATTGTATTTTATATACTGCTGTACTGTAGTAGTGTATATTGTATAGAATTTATTTAAGTACTTTATCAAAATTTATCCTTAAAATTTCATTTTGTGTACTTGTCTTATAAACAAATATAAACCTTATAAAATAAATTTTTTTTCTATTTTTTATATTGGTTATTATAAAAAAAGTAAGACACCAATAATATTATATAAACAATGTTATAGCTAAATACGAAAATTCTCTGCAGAAATATTTATCTTTAGAATATATTACTACAAAAAAAAAATCATTCTAATTATAACGCATTCACATGATTCGCCATTAAAATTCGCATGAAACGAAATAGATAGATAATAAATTTCATTTTTAATAAATATTAGTCCGTTCACGTGACTTTCGCCATTAAATTCGCATGAAACGTAATAAATAGATATCGAAAATTCATTCATAACAAACTATTTATAACCCTTGTTTTTTTAGATACTAATTAATCAATCAATAAATAAATAAATCAATCAATCAATCAATAACAGATTTAAATGAATAAAAAATTTACAATAATCTAAGATTAATAAAATTAAAAAAAGACAACAATTAAACATGTTTATATATATATATATATATTATTTTAGCACTAATACTTATTTAAATATTAATTTTTCAAATTTAAACGCTATAAATAAGAAAAGTAACAGCAATTTAATTTTCTTACATGTTTTTTAGTATTTATACTTTTTTAAAAATTTTGTTTTTTTTTAAATTTAGATAAAAAAAAACAATAGCAATTTAAATTTTATTATTTTATTATTTTTAGTACAGTGCAGGAATCTTTAAATCAACATGTTATAAATATAGCGGCCAAATTTTGAGCTATGCTATACAAGAATAAACTAATATAATGAATAATATAAATATATTATTATATATAAAATATATATTAAAAAGTAAGTAAGTAAAAGAAAAGGAGTGTTAAAAAAATACGAGTAAGTAAGAGAAAAAATATGAGTAAGTGAGTAAGTAAGTGAGTGAGTAAGAGAAAAAATATGAGTAAGTGAGTGAGTGAGTGAGTAAAAGAAAAACTATGAGTAAGTGAGTAAGTAAGAGAAAAATATAAGTGAGTAAGTGAGTAAGTAAGAGAAAAATATAAGTGAGTAAGTGAGTAAGAAAAAATGTATAAGAAAAAGAGTGAGAAAAAGTAAGAAAGAGTAAAAAAAAAAAAAAGAAAGAGAGAGAGAAAGAGATTAGTTTATTTATATTCTTTATAATATATTTTAAAAAAATTTTATTAATAATTTGGGCAAAATTAAAAAAGTTATTAGTAATATTGGCCAAAATTAAGGTAGCCAAATTTTAGTTTAATTAATAAAATTAATTAACTTTAAAAACTAATTAAATATAGTAGATACTATTAGCAAAGTTTTTAAAAAGCTATATTAAATTATTATATAATCATCGGGAAAAATTTTTTAGTGCTGTTTTGTGCAGATTTGCAAAAAAATTAAATAATAAATTAAATGAAAACCTGTGCAAAACTTCAGACTCACCAGCTATAGCTACAGAAATTAAATACAGTTCTGTGCAAAATTTCAATATATGAAAAATTTTGCAGTTTTTTGCAAAAAATTCTGCAAAAATCTGTATTTTTGCAAGTTTTTGCAGATTTGCACTTCTAATGATAATAGTATTAATACTTTAAAAAAAAATTTAAAAAAATTTATTATAAAAGCTATATTATTTATTAGCAATTTATAAATTTAAAAAATATTTATTATAAAAGCTATATTATTTATTAGCAATTTATAAATTTAAAAAATTCTTTTTAACTCTTTCTGATGATCACTTGGACCAAAATTTCCCACAAAAGAAAAGTCAAGTTTGGATACTGAAGAAGTAAAAAAGATCTGTAGTAGGTAGACAATAGTGCAGTTTTTATAAAGGTCAACCTTTTATGCTTTTACAAGAATTTCTTTATATATTCGACATGCAAGCCGAAAGTGTCTTTATACAAGATAACTGGCTAGGGAAGTGTGTCCTTGTATATGAAATTTTGGTGAAGATTTTGGGGTTTCTTTATCAATAAAGCAACCTGTTGCAAAATAACTGAGAAACAGTAAAAAACTTGCTATTCTCAAGCTATACTTTTTTATTTAGCCAAATAACTCCTCTTTTACTCACTTCTGCTTTTCTGCCAGTCTTTCAAAATTTTTTCAAAAAAGTGGGGATTTGGCTTATCTTCTCCAAAAGATCGACATTGTTTATTTTTCATTTTCAGGTGAACTCGGTAGATTGCAACTACATGTTTGTTTATTTAAAAATACGGAGCTACTTTATGTAACAAGATCAGGTTCTGGGTTAAAGAGATATCTGATAAGACATATTAAGTTGGAAAGGAAAGATTATACTAGAGATATATAATAGTTGCAGTTGTTATACAATTTTTATCAGCCTAGCACAGGTTATAATAATGCATTTGTATTTCTTTTATGTATGTTATGCTGTCTTGTCTCTTTTTGTGCTTCTTTTATCTTTTTCTCTTTACAATGGAATCTTATTTAGAACATACTTTTTTGTATATGTTTCTTTTTTTTGTTTTTGTCTCTTTCTTTCCTAAATTTTGTTTTTCTTTGATAAATTCAGCATATATTTTTCTCTTATAAAAAAGTAAGAAATAAACTATTTTGCCCAAATCTAGGTGGGAGGAGTTTATAAAAAGGGATAAGTAGTTATGATGGGCTAGTAGATCCTGGCCAGTGATATGTGAATCTGAAATTTGAGGTAGATCTAGAAGAAGCAAGGAGGCTGCTTCTGCTCTGCAAGTCATATATAGGTCCAATTAGAAACCAGGTAAATTGCACTTTAGTATAAAACAGCTTGGCTGTAATTAGATATTCAAATATAAAAATTTGTTTCATTTATGTTAAATAATAAAGTTGTGGTATAACTGCTTAAAAAAAAAAAAAAAATTCTTTTTAATATGTTTTAGCTTTTTATATATTTGTAAATAAAAAAATCAA